GAAGGAAGGAAGGGAGGGAGGGAGGAAAGGGGGTTTTTTTTTGACTGTCTTGAACCCTGTTTCTTTCGGAGGGGGGAAAGGATATTATCAGGGTCTAGATTTCTTTAGCATATTACAGGGTATATGCCAGAAACAGATAGTGTCATTGCCCAAACAAATTCAGTGCTCCTGGGATCCAAAGCATTTTCTCCTTCTGGCTCAGGAATTAAATTCCTAGTGCCTGAATTAGTTGCAGAAAATAGAGTTCCTTTAAGTTGTTCATAATACTAATATGCCTTGGAGAAAGAGGGTGGTCATAAATTAGAGGGAAGAGGGAGGGAAAGAAATTTCATAGACTCCTTGGATTTTGCTTCAGTTCTAGCTCATTGTATAACATATTCTACCAGGAAACTTAAAGCTCCATTGGAAATCATCTTTCTACTCAATGTAGTTCAATTTAGGTTCTCGGGTTTCATTTGAAAGGAGCAGAGGTAGTGAATCAGCTTTCTCCCTCCCTCTGGAGAGGTTAGACCTGGTGAGTTTAAAGTTTCTGGGAGGCATCTAAGTAGATGCATCAGGCAGAAAGCTGGCTGCAGATCTGGCACTTGGGAGAGAAGGGTAGGAAAGATGGTCATCAAAAACACAGGCATGTGATATACAGCATAAGGAACATGATCAATAACTTTGTATGGGGACAGATGGTTACTAGACTCACGTGGTGATCATTTCATAATGCATGCAAATATCAAATCACTACATAGTACACCTGAAACTAACATAATATTGTACATCAACTATATTCTAATTAAAAGAAGAAGAAATGTTTTTAAAAAAAGAAAAAAACGTATGGTTGAGGTCACTATAGGAATGTGTTTAGAGTAAGAGGGTGAGGGGCAGAGGGGAGACCGACAGACCACTCAGAAAGAACAGCTTGAAGCACAGGAGAATGTGGAAGGAGGAGCCAAGAAAGGAGGGGCAGCCAAAGGTGTTAAGTGCTGGTTAAACAGAAAGGAGCACGAGGACTAAAAAGTACGTGACAAAGATAATAGTTTTCTAACGTTGAGCCAATGTCTATGTGTTTCATGCTCCATGAATTGTGTCTCCTGTGATTTTCTGTCCTCCACTGAATCCTTGCTTCAGAAGGAGGCAGCAAGTGCCATCCAGAACAAGGAGATGGCAGCTCAATTTTGCACGTTAGGTTTTCTTGAGCCCTACTGAAGCCATGCTGTGTTGGGAGTGAAAAGTCTTTCCTAATTCCCAAACAGGTCCCTTTGCATATGAAGAGCATGGTTTTGGGCTCTGAGCATGGAGCCTCCTCTACATGGAGGTGTTGCCATGATGGAGGATCTGACAAGGGAAGGGTTCCTAGCCTACGGAAGAGGGATGGAGGGGAGGAGGGAGGGAGGGCTGGCTGCCAGACATCAGGGTCCTCCTGACTGTCTCCTTCCCTAGCGTTTGTGACCCTCCAGGTTTCTGGATGGTTCCTTGGAATTTAACCTCACAGTGGCCTTTGATTTTCAGGTCACTGGTTCTCAAACTCTGTGTAACCAAGGGTTGCACCAACAACACCTACAACCCTTAAACTAAAATATGTAATTCCAGCCACCCCAGGACCTGCAGAAGGAGAATTTCTAGGGTGGCTGAGAATCTGTACATTTCACAAGTTCCCTGCATGATTCCGATTAGAGCCTGAGGTGAAAGCACTTGTGATGAGTCTTCTTGATCCCTCGTCTGACCATCTCAGACCCACAGCCTCCCAGGCTTGCACGAACTGGGCCCAGAACCCCCAACTCCCTTTCCTGCTTTATTTTTCTCTGTAGGACTAGCTCACTGGCTGACATTCTGTTTATTTTACTTGTTTTTTCTTTGTTGTTGTCTGTAGCACAAAGCACAGAATGGGTACTCAATAATGATTTGCTGGATGGATGGATGGATGGATGGATAGATGGATGAGGAATCAAAGAACCAGGAAGCTTTCTAAGGACTGAGATAAAGAGGAATAAACGGGAAATAATTTCATCAAAGAAAAATTGTTGACTTCCTCTTTAGAGGGTCACAAGTATATGCGTGAAGAAACAGGGAAAGCAGGTCACAAAGACAAAGAGGAGAATGAGGCTCACAGAGGG